TGTTGCTGCTGAGTGGAGGAGAGCCTCCATCCTGCGCTTTCACGCAGAACTGGAAATCTTTGATCTGCTCGTAGTCAAAAGAGCGAACTGCATGGATGACTCCACTATCAGCACTAACAGATACATATGAAGAGACTGGCACTCCGTTAATATAGGATTCTTCTAGAATGTAAGATACACGGGCATTCTGGTTCCAGTCATCGTCTGTAGCTTTTACTGTGAATATAGAGAGACTTGGTGTGTTGTTTTCAACAATGTACGCATCATATGAGCTCCTCTCAAATACAGGTGCGTTGTCATTCACATCAGAGATCTGTAAAGTGAAAGTGATACTACTGGAAAGGGATGGTTCTCCTTCATCAGAGCAGATCACTGTGATGTTATACGCAGATTCTGTCTCTCTGTCTAACTGACTCTCTGTTACAATACTGAAAAAGTTATTCGATGTTGTAGAAATAGAAAACGGGATGTCTCTTTGAATTTTACATTGTACTTTCCCATTTTCAGCTGAATCTGGATCCAGTGTGTTTATAATTGTCACAACTGTACCAGGTTGAACGTCTTCTGTAACTACAGCTGACTTTGACATAATATTTATAGCAGGTGTGTTGTCATTTGTATCAATTATTTCTATAGTAACCTTACAAGAATCAGTTAGACCTCCAGCATCTCCTGCCTGAACATGTAACTGATATTGTCGTTTCCTCTCATAGTCAGTGTTTCCGGCCAACTTAATTTCACCAGTCTCTCTGTTTATTTTAAATATTTCAGATGCGTCATCAACGGAGTTTAATATTTCATATGATATTTTTGCGTTAGATCCCTCGTCAGCATCTATGGCACTAACTTTAATGACAACGGTTCCTGTTGGTGAATCTTCTCGTATTGATGATTTATAGACTTTCTGTGTAAAAACCGGAGAATTATCATTGCTGTCGAGGACATTTACATGTATTTGAACTGAGCCAGAAAGCTGCGGCTCACCGCCGTCTACTGCCGTCAATACAAGCGACAGACGATCTTTTTTTTCACGATCTAGTGGTTTGTCTAATATCATTTCCACTGTCTTGCCTCCGTCTACTTGATTTTGCAGTTTCAACATAAAGTTATCTGTAGGGTATAGCGAATAACTCTGTAGATCGTTCTTACCTACATCCAGATCAATCGCTTGCTCTAGCACAAAAGCTGTTCCTGTAACAGCCGACTCAGAAATTTTAAATTTCATTTCACCTCTCTTAAAAATCGGTGCGTTGTCATTAACATCGGTAATTTCCACGGTGATGCTGTAAAATTCCATGGGATTTTCTAAAATAACCTGGAAATTTAGAGCACACGGCGCCGTCTCTGCACAGATAGCTTCTCTGTCGATCCTGTTTTTAATGAGGAGGACTCCCTTTTCTTTATCCAGCACAATGTACTCGGGACTGTCTCCTGTATAAATGCGGGCCTTTCCCGATTTCAGTCTTTTCACATCCAAACCTAAATCCTGTGCAATATCTCCGACGAAAGATCCCACGGGCATCTCCTCAGGAATAGAGTAGCTGACCTGTCCACTCACCAAAATGAGACACGGGAGCGTGATGAAAATCAGACCCAGTAGTCCCATTGTTCTGATTGTCGCAATCCTCTCAGTCCAGTCTTGTTAAATCCCGATTCAAATTATATTTCCGCTAAGATGTAAAGAAAAATTCGGCCACTGGGTCTAATGTCATCAGCAATTACACTCTGAGCTGCAAATTCAAAAGGAGAATCATCCAACAAAGCGAACATAATCCAAAACCGATAAGTTGCGTCAACCTCCTGAGCTGTTTGTTCTCTATCTACCGTTCTCTCTCTCTTTCTCTGTCTGAGATGAGAAGGGAGTTACTGAATATTGCGTCCCCCTGAAAACACAGACTAGCCAACAGCGGCCCTAGGAGTTCATCAAGCTGAACTGCAGAATGTTACAAAGATGGAACTAAAATGAATTCATGATGTCAAAAGGAGTCTATTTTAAAGACATTGAGTCAATGTAAAAAAGAGGAAACATATTACATATCAGAAGTTAAAAAACAAAACTAAACTAAATGTTCATGCTCAAGGAATAGAACTGATTATGATAGATGGCGTACAATGTTGTTGCTATTAAAGGGAAAAAAGGGGAAAACAAAGTCTGCATCAAATTGTTTTTATATCATTGTACTTTGTGGTGAGGTGGCACTACAAAAATAAACGGAATTGAACTGAATTACTCTAAAATTAAACCAAACATGTCTCACATATTCTTGAATTATAAATTACAAAATGAGCTTCATGGCAAGTTCAAGATTAATCAGTGCATTAAAATGTGTTCTAAATCTAATGTCACAAAATCACTAAATCCTTTAAAATTAATATTTAGAAATGTTATAAAAATAGGTGTGGGACAGAGTTGCTAATATGCCATGCAAAAAATGCAAATTCATAATTTTGTTGATAAAATTATGTAGAACCCTCTCTGACGCAGCTTGATATATAATAACCAATAATGTATCAATGTATCAAAAGTATCAATAATAAATTATGACAAAAATCAGATGCTATAAATGAGAATATTGGTATCCATCATGAGGACAAAGTTGATGATTATATGTTAATAAAATTAGATATTAGGAAAACAGAAAATTAAAGATACAACTCTGAATTGCGACACTTCAAACGACATAGGAGCTATCCATGGTGCTGACTTTAAAATCAAATTGCGCTTCTAAAAATCTATTTAAAAAAGACGTAACCAGAGAAGTAGGCATTTGTTTGCAATTATACTTAGTGGAATAAAAATAATCATGGCAACATACTATAAGAAAGCTATGTATGCAATGCAGATGCTACCAGGTAGTTTTAATTAAAATAAATGTAAAATCTCCCAGACAAGAGTCAGAAAACAATAAAACAAGTAGTACAGTAGAGTATTTGATTCTGTCATTTAAAGATATACAATACAAATAAAATATCTAGATAATATAAACTGATAATATATCACTACATTATTAACTCTTAACAACTAACCTCCAGAGGAGAGTCAGGTTCATCGAAGATACTCTTCTCACTCTGTATCCGCTGCATCGTCCCTGTAGAACTGGGGTCCATTATCAACACGTTCTGACTACCAGCTCCTCCGATCTTACAGTCACTCACTCTGGAGTCAGTCGTTCTGCACACCTCGTAATTGTAAACGTGTGGCAGAGTTCCTGTTCCCAAAGTGTCTGAGTAACGAGGTGGATAATATGGAATCACAGGGAGGCTGGAGTGATACAGGATGCGAGACTGTCTCCATCTGTAGATCTTTACTGATATTATAACCACTAAACACGTGATGAAGAGGAAGGAAACCACAGCCAGAGCCAACACTAAGTAAAAAGTCAGGTTATCATTGTATTCATTGTATTCCTTATCGTGTGGAAAGTCAGTGAACTCCGACAACACTTCAGGGAAGCTGTCCGCCCCCGCCACGTTAGCAATGACTGTAGCTGAACGAGAGGGCTGCCCGTTGTCCTCCTCTATGACAGTCAGTCTTTGCTTCACAGCATCTTTATCAGTCACCTGACGGATAGTTCTTATTTCTCCATTCTGTAAGCCCACTTCAAACAGCGCTCTGTCTGTGGCTTTCTGGAGTTTATAGGAGAGCCAGGCATTCTGTCCAGAGTCCACATCCACAGCCACCACTTTAGTCACCAGGTAGCCCACATCTGCTGAACGAGGAACCATTTCAGCCACCATGGAGCCACCAGTCTGGACTGGGTACAGAACCTGAGGTGGATTGTCATTCTTGTCCTGAACTACTATTTTAAGTGTAGCAACTGAGCTCAGAGGAGGGGATCCAGCATCCCGAGCAGTTATGTTTAACTCAAAACACTTTATCTGCTCATAATCAAACGATTTGACAGCATGTATGACACCACTATCTGAGTTCACCGTTACTAAGTTTGTGACCTTTATCCCATTTATTTCTCTTTCCTCTAAAAAGTAAGACAACCTCGCATTTTGACCCCAATCTGCATCAGTAGCACTGACTGTAAACACGGAACATCCGGGTGAGTTGTTTTCTGGTATGCTCATTGTATATTCTGATTGACTAAACTGAGGTGGGTTGTCATTCACATCAGAAACTTTTACGTTCATCTTTTTGGTACTAGAAAGAGGTGGAAAACCTTGGTCAGACACAGTCATTGTGATATTATACTCAGGGTTAGTTTCTCTGTCTAACGTACTGTCGGTCACTATAGTGTAATATCCCGTTAGGGAGGACTCAATTTTAAAAGGTACATCAGAGTTAATGGAACATCTGACAAGACCGTTTCTTTCAGAGTCTTCGTCATCCACGTTAACAACTGCTATAGTTGTGCCTAAGGGAGAGTCCTCTGAAATTAAGTTTGAAAATGACATGAGCTGTATTGTGGGTGCGTTGTCATTTTCATCGATTACTTGAATGATAACTTTACACGTATCTGAGTATCCCCCGTGGTCACTCGCCTGAACGTTTAGCTGATATGTTTTAGACTTTTCAAAGTCCACCTTACCTAAAACCTTAATCTCACCTGTTGTGACATTTACATCGAAGAGCTGCTTCGCCTCTTTTCCGACATGAGGGATGGAGAACGTCACCTCGCCATTAACTCCCTTATCTGCGTCATCTGCCTCCACTGTTGTGACCACTGTTCCTTCAGGAGAGTTCTCCCTCACCTCGGCTTTATATACTGACTGACGGCACACTGGAGCATTGTCATTAGCGTCTAGCACAGTAATATGGATGCTGACTGTTCCTGATCTGCGTGGTTCTCCCCCATCAGCGGCTATCAGCACAAGCGTGTGCGTGTCCTCCTTCTCTCGATCCAGAGCGTTTTGTAAAACAATTTCAATGAACGTCCCTCCATCGGGTTGGTTTTGCACTTCCAATTTAAAGTGATCTAAAGGTTTCAACACATATTTCTGAATGTCGTTTATGCCAACATCCGGGTCATCTGCGCTCACTAGAGAGAAACGAGTCCCGGGCGCAACACTTTCAACGATTTTTAGGTTTATTTCTTTCTTTTGAAAGGACGGGCTGTTGTCATTGACATCCACCACCTCTACTGTAACCCGGTAAAGCTGAATAGGGTTTTCTAAAATCACCTCGAAGCTGAAGCTACAGGGCGTCGTCTTTCCGCACAGCTCTTCTCTGTCAATTCGCTCTTTAATAACAAGAATGCCTTTCTCACGGTTTAAATCCACATACTGCTGGCTATCTTTTGTAATAATACGAGCATTACCTCCCACAAGCCTCGGCAAATCCAAGCCCAAATCCCTGGCAATGTTTCCAACAAAAGACCCCTCCGATTGTTCCTCCGGTATGGAATACCGAGCCTGGGCCGTTACCGAGCTCATCTTCAAAAGACAAAGAATAGACACCAGCGCTTGCACTCGGTCTCCGGCAGCGGGTATCCACGCACAAAACATCACGAATCCAAATGCGAACAAGCAGCAATCCGTTCAGGGTTAAACGGTGTAAAGAAAATCCAGAAATTTAAAACGGGCGATGTTTTCAGGAAGGAGCATTCAGGAGAGATGAAACGATAAAAATCTGGAGGTCTGTGCGTCGACTTGTGAAACACTAAATGTCAGGGAAAGGAGGTGGACTGCTGCAATCCTAATTTGCACAGGGTTTCAGCGATGTATCAACAGCGGCACTCAGAGTCCAGTCAGTGTAATATTTTATACTGAATAGAAGGAAGCGCAGTATTTGTTCACCGTATTTAGAAAATAAGAAAGCTTTATGATTACAAGAGGGAGGGTAGAAACATAATATATTGTTGGAGTGTTACATATTAACGATAATCTTCAAATGAAATTAATGCGCAGTATAAATAAATTCATAATCACAACAAGATAATATTAGTAATAACAACAATAACAGAGATATCACCGTTATAAGATGAAATAACACTGAATTTAAACTAGTAATAATGTGGAGATAGAGTCCAAGCTGTTGGGTATTTATTTATTTATTTATTTATTTATTTATTTATTTATTTATTTATTTATTTATTTATTTATTTATTTATTT